AGTTGCAGGCTGTGTCCGACAGTGTGGCCCCGTACGAGGGCCCCAACAACCAGCAAGCCATTGATTCATGCAAGGTCAATGAGGATCAAGCTCGTCAAAAGTTCGACGCCGCAAGGGCAAAACACAGATACTGTGAGTACCGCCTCCACCACACGATTGCATTGTACTGATACACGCGTCTCCAGTGCTCAACCTGAAGGAAGCCGGGACACAGTCAAATGAGCCCCGGATGTGTATCATTTGCCAGTCATCATTCACGATCGGTGTCCTCACTGTCTGTGGCCACCAGTTCTGTAAAGACTGTATAAAACAGTGGTATCGGGCACATCATAACTGCCCAATGTGCAAGCGAAAGTTGAGACTAACTGAGCTTCACGACATCACGTTGAAACCGAGAGAGGTCAAGTTGCTCGAAGAAACGACAACATCGACAACGCATGAGCCCAAAGACAAGAACGCAAGAACCAATGGCATTTACTCACAATTTGGCTCTGAGAAGATTGCTCAAATCAAGGATATCGAGTTAGCGGGCCTATCGTATGGCAGCAAAGTGGACTCGATCGTGCGCCATATCATCTGGCTGAGGAAGACCGATCCTGGTGCCAAATCAATTATTTTTACTCAGTATGCCGCACAGCATTTCCTAGGAAACAGCATGCTTACCATTTGTACAGATACCGCAGTTTCTTGGGCGTTCTGAGCGCCGCTTTCTTCCGCTACAAGATAGGCTTTGCGTCCATTGACTCGTCAACCGGGATCCAGAGATTCAAGGAAGATCCGGGCGTTGAAATATTCATGCTCCATGGACGGGCACAGTCTAGCGGTCTCAACTTGGTGAACGCGAGCCATGTATTCCTGTGCGAACCACTCCTAAACACGGCCCTCGAGCTCCAAGCTATTGCGCGCGTCGACCGAATTGGGCAGAAGCACGAGACAACGGTGTGGTTGTACTTGATTGAAGGGTCAGTTGAAGAATCCATATACAATCTATCAGTCAAACGGAGGATGGATCACATGGGCAAAAACTCGAAAGGGAAAGGAAAGGAATTCACCCCCGAGGTGGCAGAGCCTACACTGGAGGCTGCAAATACGCTCGAACTCGAGACTGCTTCTCTCAATCATCTAATGAGCAAAGACAAGAATGCGGGAGAAATGGTAGAAGCGGGCGATCTTTGGGAATGTTTGTTCGGAAGCGTTCCTAAACGCATTACGGCGAGTGTGGCGGAAGGCATCATTGCCGACAGTAGAGAGGATTAGATGTAGACTTCACTTGGTCTTTGGTGGTGACCAGGATGCGAAGCGTGTCGAGGAGATATAGACCTTGTCGTGTTTGAGTGGCGTCCGGGAAAGCATTGGAAGCGATTTTGGACTTTATTTGTTTGTCTGGGTATACAATGATGAGATGTTCTAAGCCATTTTGGTAGAGAGTTGCCTGATAAGTCAATGGACTGGGAGTTGACAGCATTCAGACCAGAAAAATTGGGAACGAATCCCACGTCGCCGCCGGGTTACATGAAATGCGGAACTAAACATGTAGAATCAAGGCTCACTACAATCCTCGAGTCTTGATTCTCGGTCATGTTCTTGGAACAAGAAAGTTCACGTCTAATACTATCCTACTTTCATTCTAGCGGGGTAGTAGCGGGGCAGTGAAGCATGAAAGCAGCACCGTTCCCATGCTTCATTCTTTGTCAAAAAGAAAGCCGAGCTGCTGAAGACTGCAGCTTGGTCCGCTCTGAGGCCGTAACAAAGCGCAGGGGTTCAGGGGTTCAGGGGACCCACACAGCTGGCACCAGCTGTTGCGGGGTCTTCCTTGGAGAGAATCAAGTCATAATCGACTGCGTCCAGGCTGAGAGCCACCTGCCAATAACCAACTAAAGCAGCTGATATTACATCCCACCTAGCGAACGACCTCAGCAACCCCGCCCGAACCCGTTCGGATCTCACGAGGGGCTCTGCCATGAATTGAGAGAGATTGAAGACTGCCTCCAGGCCAGTAAAAACACACCAGATGCAGCTGTTCCCCGGCGGTTACCATGTATAGGACTCGAGGAAATGCCCCTCAGGGGGGCGGTATCCTCGGCGCGTTGAAGGCGACCGAGATGCTGGATTCGAGGCCGAGTCTGCCAGCAGGTTGGTTTGAGTCCTTTGGTTGGAATTCGAGGAATTGTGTACTGACCTGTCCGCCAGAGATCCTCGTCGCGATCCTCGACTACCTTCCCGTCGCAGACCTGATGCAGGTCGCTCGAGCTTCCCGTCGCATGCAAGAAATGGTGTACGATGATACGAGATGGGTCGCCAGATTGAAGAGCATGGGATGTTGGAACGAAGCCGAGGCGAGGCAGCGGTTCGATGAGGCCATGCGGAAGAGACGGGAAGCCGCCGAACGGGCGGCGAAAGGCGCCGCTGGAGGCCAGCCAGGAGCCCCAGGAAGCCACCCTCCGAAACCCACGAGTACGATGTTGTTCGATGCCACGGTTGAGGAAGAGCGCCGGAAACGCCAATCGGCAGTGCCTCCTATCGATGGATTCGAGAGGATGACTGTAGGAGCACCAGCAGCCAAGGACCCATTCAAGGACCCGGAGGCGCTGCTGGATGTGATCAAGAACTCGAGGAGTATCAGGGGGCACGCAAGAGAGGAATATGGCAAGATTTACGGCTCATTCGCGCCTTTCTATTTCGACCTTGCCAGGGCGAAGAGCCACACGGATCCTATCGTCTTCCAGGTGTTCAGGGACCCTGAAAGACAGGCTAAAATGCTCTCGAATCTGCAAGTATTTGCAAAGAGCGACTGGGCGCAGGGGTGGAATCAGCGAGAGGAACGACTTATGACCATGACGAGTATTTTTGAGGGCGCGGTACTTCGAGAGTTCGAACAGGGGTACGAGTTTTGGGATGTTGACGGCCGCATGAAGCGGTACGCGCACGTGCTGCATACACTGAACGGCGGCAACGCAGCAACGGAGCTTTTCATCCAGAAGCACCCTATATTCAGCGACCGCGAGGTCCTGGCGGTCAATTCGTCGGATTGCATCAACCAGACCAGTGGGGACGAAATCAATTTGGAACCCTCCCGACTGTTTTTCGAGATGCTGCTGCGGAAAGTCAACGAGCACGCTGAGATTATTGGGCGCATATTCGCCAATCCCGATGTTGTGTTCTGGGAGTTTATGGAAAAGGTCCGGGAGGATGTTATCATGGACTACATCACACCGCTTTTCGACGCAACGCACGACAGAAACCTACAGTGGTATCTGAAGGCTGTGGCTGGAACCTTTGAGCAAGGCATGCTCTTCTTCAAGTCCGTGGTCCCTCCAAAAGACTCCAAGAGCAACCTCGAGGAAAAGGCCAAGGAGATGATGCTGAGAGTGTTTGAGCCGCATCTGGACCTGTATCTGCAAGAGGAGCTCGACTTTTTCACAAGACATGCCGAGTCGGAGGTTGCAGAATGGGAGAAGAAGCTCTCTGAGCAAGACGCCTCTGTCGAGTCGTTCTACATGAGCAACTTCAACAGACAGGCAGATAAGAAGGACTTTCTGAGTTCTTTCAGAAAGGTAGTCATGATGCCCGTCACGGTGTTGCCATCTTTTGGCAGCACGAGTACAACAACGAAACCTACCACACCCAACGGCACATCTGCCCTGTCGCCTCAGCCGTCTAGACCGCAAACGCCCAGTCTTGCACCAAACACGGACGGAAACGGCCGGCTCAGTCCTCTGCCCGCACAAGCTCCAACCGACGAGCTGGCGGCCAAGGCTGCTCTGATGGCGTCCAGAATGGAAGGCATTAAGACTCTTTTCAGTATCGAAATTGCCCTGAACCTAACACACAAGGCCAAGACGAGCATGGGTCGCGCGTCGCTGTTCATGCAGCTTGGAGGCCAGTACGGCGAGGAAGCCCGTGAGCAATGCGAAACAATATTCGTAGTCATGCTCCGTATCCTAGGCAACAGACACGTCAAGGTCGGCTTCGAAAAGGCCGTTGAGCACCTTTCTCACTACAACCCTCGTGAGGTCAGCGACCACAACCAGTCCGGCGTTGCGCCCCTGGTGACCTTTATCGAGCTGGTCAACGTGGGCGACCTCATCTCTCAGATGATTGACGTTTTCTACGAGCAGCAGCTCGCCGGCCCAAAGATTGCAGACCGCAACGACTTTCTCGACCCCGCCGGCATCGCCAAGAAGAAGTGGGAGCAGATGCTGGACGAGAGCGTTGCGGCAGGCTTGAATAAGGGCATTGACGTCCTCATGGATGAGGTCGAGTACCTCCACGGCACGACACAACAGCCGACCGACTACAACCCCTCTGAGACGGGCGGCATCTTGGCCGACCCGGGGCCGACCGAGACGGCGCTTCGCATCAAGGAGCTCGTGTCTTCGCACACGCGCATGCTGGTTGGCACGACGGAGAAGTCGATGCTTGATGTATTCAACGGCGAGGTGGGCCTGCGGCTGTTCACGGCCGTGTGCAAGCATCTCAAGCGGCAGCGTATCAGCACTGAAGGTGCCATCAAGCTCATTGCCGACATGAACCTATATTTCGAGTACATTCGCACCCTCAAGAACCAAGACCTGCTTGCCTACTTCAAGGCATTGCGCGAGCTGAGCCAGATCTACCTCATCGACGCCAAGCACGCAAAGGAGATGGCCACCATCATTGCCGACGGCGACCGTTTCGAGGGTGTGTTCCGCGCCGAAGAAGCGTATGAGTTTGCGCAAAGACGATCGGATTGGTACACAGTTAGAAAAGATGTGGAACGGGCAATGTACGGGATGGAATGCTCGCTCATGTAGAGAGGCATACACCAGATGGTGCTATATAGCAGTCTCATTCTTGTTGGAAATCATCTCCAATTGGAGAAATCAGGTAGCCTGTCCTATTCTTAATAATACCCCTGCTTGAACCCAGTTGAGCCGTAACGCCTGTGATGCTGCATTGTTTTTATCCCCATTTCGCCATATTCATGAGATAAGGGCGTCAAAAGCCCCGTAAGCTTTGTCCTATCTTGGTCCAAAGTCCAACTTGCGCGCAACCTTAGCACCCCTGTCCTCCTCGACCAAACCCGGTCGCTTCTTGAGATCTGCACCCATCTTCTCCTCGCCGCCGCCCTTCTTGGGCAGATCCGCGTTACGCGAGGGCTTGGGCTCGGTGCGCCACCAATTGTGCTTCAACATGTCCTTGGCCGTGATGCGCTTCTTAGGGTCGAGAATGAGAGTTTTCATAAGCAGGTCCACGCCCGCGGATCCCACGGTGCCGAAAGTACCCTGGTAGTAGTCTCTGCCCCTGACCGGCTCGCCGTCGTCGGGGACGGTGTAAGCCGGCAACTTGGTGACGCCTGGCCAGTTGTCTTCTGTGGGGGTTCCGACGGCACGACAAATGAGCGAGATCTGCTGAACCTCCGTCTCGGAAGGCATGTACGGCGCACGGATGATGAGCTCCGCAAACACGCAGCCTACGCTCCAGACATCGACCGCGCCGCTGTAGTGCTTGCAGCCGAAGAGCAGCTCAGGAGGGCGGTACCAGCGTGTGATGACCTGGTTGGTCATGACCTGGTGCGGATCCGCGAAGCCTCTCGCGAGACCGAAATCAGCAAGCTTGACCTCGCCGTCGGCAGCGATCAACAAGTTGTTGGGCTTGATATCGCGGTGCAGCACGAAGTTCTCGTGGCAGAACCAGACGGCGCGGGTGAGCATACCCATCCAGGCCTTGATATCTGCGGCACCGTAGCGGACGTTGGCAGTGTCTTTGATGAGCATCTCGAGGTCGCCAAGAGGGAGGTATTCGAGGACGAGGTTGAGGTTCTGGTCTTTGGAGGAGAAGACGGAGAGGAGGGAGATGATGTTCGGATGTTGAAGTTCCTGGAGGTGCTTGAGTTCGCGCACGGCGTCGGGGGCCATGCCTTCCTGGTATTCTTTCTGGACTTTGATCTTCTTGATGGCAACGAGGGAGGACTTGTCGGAACGGAGGTGGCCGAGGAAGACGATGGCGTAGGTACCTTCACCTAGCTTCTTGCCTGTGCAGCGATTAGCATCGCCATTGTGAAGTCGAGAAAATAATATTAAATAGTAGGCATACCTTTGACATATTTGCGCTTCTCCTCCTCGTTCATCTGCTCGGCAAGGTCGAGGGTCGGCGGCAAAGAGGCGGGTGCATTCTTGTCCTTGGGCGGCTGCGGCGTGCCGTTGGCGGAAGCCTGGTTTGACGAGACATTTTTGAATGGCGAGCCGATTGAGCCCGCCGGCTTCAGCGCGTCGGTCGCGCGGACGACCAGTGGTGAGGCCGACATCGTGGTTGTCGTGATGGCAGTGGCGATGCGGGATGAAGGTTTACGACCGACAAGGCGGCGGGATTTCTGCAGCCTTGTGAAGCGTGGCAGAGTTGATTGGTTCGAAGCGCCACAGCTGAGCTGAGCCACATTTAGGAGTGGCTGATTGAATGATATCTCATGATTGGTGTATCAAAGCAAGCCCAGAGACAGGCATGTCACGGCTGCTCAATCTTCTACCTAGGTTTTGGGCTTTGTCAGGACCACAGGAAAGACTAGACGACACAACTCGAGTCTACGTACTGTACATGCGATTTTGCTGGCTGGCGTCCGGAACCCTTGCATTGTCCCGTATATTCCAATGCGCAGTAGACACGAAGCTATCTTAGACGCACGTCGCCAGCCACACGCTGCTGACACCACCTGTTCGCGACATCCCAGCCATAGGGCACATTGGATAAGGTATTCCAGATAGGGCGCCGGAGGTGCCGGCAAAGCTGGCAGGTGCCCGTTTGATTCGGGGCACCAGCCTCAAATTGCGCGGCGCAGAGATCACCCCTCGACGCGGGCGGACTTTGGACGATTTGGCGCGATGCGACGGACCTGATCCCGAACCCAGTGGAAAACCCTTCTCTTTTCTGTCAAGCCTGCCGAAGTAACTAGAAATTGCGGCTGTGCTTGTTCACATTGCGAACACATCAACACCCCGTCACGCGGGCCGGGGAGGCGGACATGGTTGCTCCCCGTTTCCCGAAGTCCCAACACCATCTTCAGCCCTCCGCCGTAACAGCACCGCGTAAACTTCAAGGCTGTTCCCGTAAAATCCGCCCCGTCCGCTGCAGGCCACATGGGTTTGCCTTCCGGGGCCGAGGACAAAGCACCGGAGAGGGTGTAGGGGGAGAGGAACTCAACATCATCGATAGATCATTGAACCGCGGCGACCGCGCAGCGCAAATCGACTACTGCGTGGGAATTACTCGGCCAAACCAAACCGGCGAGACACACTAGAAATTTGATGAAAAGACGCGAACGCGACGCAACGCAACAGCAAGATGGCCCCGAAATTTGCTACTTGGCGCCCAGTGTTGGGCTTTTCGGTGGACACTCCCCTACGTCATCTCCCGGCGGTGCCCCAAAACCAATGACATGGTCACCCCACATAGGCCACCGGTAGCGCGCGACAGGGTCTGGCGCTGGAGCTTGCCTGCTTCAAGTGCCGATCAGTCACGACTTCAGGCCGTGCCTGGCTGGTTGCTGTGCTACTTTTTTTTCCTCAGGAGCGCCCGACGACGACGCCAGCCCGGCCCACACGGCATGCAAGTACCTCCTCCAGCCATCAGCAGGAGATCGTGCTATCGAACGGGGACGGGAGCGCCTCCCGAGTCTTAAGTCCGCCGCCCCGGTTCAGCCAAGACAAACACACGACGCTTCTCTTCTTTCCCAATCTAATGCTCAAGCACTGCCTTTTTTGACGTGCCACTGCCTCCTCCGCCCAACATTCATTAACCTCGAGATCTCCAAATTATCCCTCGCGACCACCACAGCACATCTCCCGTCCTCCCACGTCAAACACTAGACCGCAATCTTCAGGGGCATCGTCTCAATTGTTCTCGTCTGAAGTAATCTTCCGAGTATCACTTCGTCCCTACCCGAAAAATCACATTTGGTAAGTCTTGCAGACTAGCATGTGCATCATTCTCCCTTTTCATTCGTCATTCTGCGTCACCACAACCAACACCCCCTGGATGAGGCTCAACCGCCTGGAATCATTCTCCATATGCTACCTCCTGCAAATACCAAGCAATGCCACTGGCTTGGACATCAGAGCTAACCACCGCACAGAACGCCGTTCAGATATCTTATCGCCATCATGAGGATACTTTCGTACTGGGTAAGCCATCTTGCTGGCTCTTGACTCTCAACCGCTTCTAACACGCCGTAGATCTTCCCAGTCTTGTCGGGCCTGATGTGGCTCGGCATGCTACTCGGCATGCTCATCTACTGGATTGTAGACGAGAAGAGGATTGTCTATCCTAGCATGACCCCACCTCAAACCATCGCCTACATCAGCGACGTTGGAGCTTATGAACTGAAGCCGCTCTTCATCGCTGGCTGCGTAATTACCGTCGTCTTCCTCGACCTGTCCTTCTTCTCCGACTGCTGGCTGCGCCATACGGGCCGTCTCGCACCCAATACATCCAGGGGCCAAAAGATTCTCTTCGGCCTGTCCATCTTCTGGGCCATCGTCGGCACTGTGGGACTCATTTGCCTCAGTATTTTCGACACCTATCGGCACGATAACCTTCATTTGATGTTCCTTGGCTTCTTCATCATCGGCTACCTGTTGTCGGCTATTTTCATCTGTTGGGAATATCAACGCCTAGGAATGAGTACGTCCATCGTCTTCTCTGTACCAACCACAAGCTGCTAACTCTATTGCAGGATACCGCGAGCACCGCGTCCTAGCGGCTTCATTCTGGGTCAAGCTGATCTTCATCATTGTCGAGATTGGTCTGGCCATCCCGTTCGTTGTCTTACAGAAGCTTAAGCGCAACAACGAGGCGGCAATCATCGAATGGGTCATCGCCTTTGTCTTCTCCTTCTACGTCTTTTCCTTCATCATTGACCTGTGGCCTGCTATGCGCACACGCGACAAGACCGCGCGGTTCTTAAAGCCCGGGCTGAGAGAGATGTCTAGCACCAGTCCTCCCAACTTCTGAGACGGGAGAAGTTTTGCACGATGTAAAGGGAATGAATTGAAGAGATGAGGGATCATGTACATCCTTTACGGAATAGCGATGTTGCATCACGGAGATGGTTTCTGGGGCTGGCATTATGGGGTTACGGGCAGGCATCACGGTCCTCACAGGGCCGGACGGAGTTTGGAGTTCTTTATATCCCCCGCTTACGACATGACGGAAAGCATTGCAGAGTTATCCATTGAGCGCTCAGAACGTATATTTCATGAATATTAATATCTGATTAACCAGTTTTAAAGGAGTCTTTGAATTTCCCTGGGCGTCTTGCCCACCACTACTATCGTACGAATGCTAACCTATGGCTGACGGCGGTGACCAGAAGGATTCGATTGTATGGCCTGCACATGGGATGAATGGGATGATTTGGAGAGTCTCGTTTCCTTGAGCTCTGATTAAGTTGCGAAATTTTTCATGCAGGATGTTTCGGACAGCAAGCACATGTAAGGCTTGAGAGTCGAGGTGTTATACTAGGAGATCTCTATCCATGATGCTTCGTATGTTCCTCTTTGTGTCAATCAGTCGCCCAAGCAGATTAACTGACGAACTACACGTGAGAATCTTCATCCAATACCAAAGGGTGAAGGGATTAGGAGTAAAAATAAGTACTTGTTGCCGGTCTCGGCTGTCGATATTGAATGTAAAGATACTAAACACATTCTTGCCACTAACACCGCTCGCTGACCATCCCTCTGGCCAAGCCCCAAACCGTTCTATCCTGTACGCCCGCTTGAGAAAATGTCCGAAACCAAACATTCCTATTCCATCATCTCTCGGAACCGCGAGTCTCTCGTCGGGCTGCTGCTCTTGTGCTTGCTAGGGTCTTTGAGAGTAGGCGGCGGCGAAATGGGCCCCTCAAGATCGTCTCTAGCCTCCACAAACCGCTCCGACTCATCGTCGCTCGTGATCGGGCTGACATCGTCATGGCCCATGGGCGACCGGGGGCTCTCTCCCGCCGACTTGCTGCCGCTCTTGCCAGCGATGGCGACCTCGCGCATGCTGGCTGATCTCCCATCGAGACTGGTTGCACTCTCGTTGGCAAGGCGTGTAAGTGCGACACCGCCGATGAAACCCCTCTCCTCGGGAGGGTTCTCCCCGGCGGCTGAACGGCCCCGTGGGCGCGAGAAACGAGATTTGAGCCACTCCTTCATCTTGTGTGTCGGAGATCCACTCTCGCTCGGCGAGCGAGCAGTGTCACTCCCACTAGGAACATCTTTCTGAGTGTTGATGGTTGGCTTCGTATGGCTTGCCCTGCTGGACTTGGGCCGCGCATCTGCGTCACTTGTTTCGTACTGCTGGGAGGTCTCTCCTGCCTCGAGAGAGTCTTCGGTAGGGACCTCGGGCTGCTTCGACCTGCGCTTCTCGCTGCTGGAAAGGCGTTTCTCTCCCGCCCTGGCAGCCTTTTCCTCTTCCTTCTTGGCCTTGGAATCCATCTTCTCGCGATGCCGCCTCTCTTTTTCCTCTTGCTTATCTGATTCTGTAGACTTGTTAGTACTGTTCACGTTTTTTGGAACAATTGCGCCACATACCCCTGATCTTGCGATTGATCTCTTTGATTTCTCGGTCGCGTTCCTTCCTCTTCTCTTCGTCCCTCTTCTTGGCTTCGGCCTCTGCCTTGGCGATTTCTTGTCTCTCCTTTTCGATAGCGGCCTTTTCGTTGATCTCATCGAGAACAGGTTGCACCCTCTTGGCGGCAATCTCATCAATGAGCGCCTGGTCCATGAACATTCCGCCGCCAATATCGAGTTTGCCCTCGTTCTCGTTGGGAACCGAGTGTTTAGCTTGGGCGGCAAGGTGAGCCTTGAACTCCCAGTCAGTCATGGTACTCGGTGGCACCATGCCCGTCTCCGCTGAGATCTTCTCGTCCATTCCCTGCAACCTGGCCCTGACGTTCCTCTGCGCAGCAGCCATCAAGGCTTCGCGGTCTTTGGCTCGCTTTTGCTCGTCGACCTTGGACAGGTTGGAGGAAAAGATGGACATCTGCCTTCTAATACGTTCAGATTGCTCCTTGTCCTCGTCCTTGATGTCACCGTCGCTCGAAGACCGTCGCCTCAGCTTGCCCTTCATGGTAAATCTCCTCTGAGGCTGGTTCGCGGAACTGCCGTTGCCGTAGTATTCTTGGTATTCCCGGTTACGTTGGTGTTCCTCGCTCAGTTTTGACAACCGTTCCTGAGCCAGCTTATACGCTGCCTCTTGCAGGTTTACGTAGGGCCTCGGCTGATTATCCGTAGGGGTCATGTCACCCGATTGCCGGTGAGCTTCGCG